CGAAGAAAAACTTGCTTCGATCCGGCTGAAAATTGGTATGTCAATTGTAATTGTATGACAATTGTGTATGTGTGGTGTCTTTAGGAGTCCTTAACCATAATTTGGGGTCAAAAGTTTATTTTCGCCATTTTTTAATATGGCTGTCATATAAGCGTTATTTTCGTCAAAAGTGGCTGCCGAAACGGACTTGCTCTGATTCGACCTGAAAATTGGCATGCGGAGGCCTCTAGAAGTGCCGGACAATAATTTACGGTCAAAATTGGTTTTTCGCCATTTTCAAATATGACCGCCATAGAAGCGTTCGTTGGCAGCAGAAAAAAAATGCTCTGATCCCTTTGAAAACTGGCATGTGTGGGTTTCTAGGAGGCTTGATAATAATTTGTGATCAAAAATGGTTTTACGCCTTTTTTTAATAAGGCCTCCATTAAACAACTAATAAAAATTTGCCGTAATTTTTTATGTAAATAACTATTAAAAAAACTTGCTTTGCTCCGACTGAAAATTGGTACGAAAAGATTTCTAAGATTGTTTGATAATAATTAGTGGTCAAAATATATTTTTGCAATTTTTAAACATGGCCGCCATTAAAGAGCTATTTCAATTTTTTTAAAACAAAGTCGTAAGTGCCGAGGCCAGAGGCCGTGGTCCGCGGAGGGCAAAGCCCGAAGCGTCCGCACGCCACCAAATGGAGATAATATACGGAGACGTAATACATTACGAGTAACAAGATCTCACAATTGTAAAAATGTAAAGCGTGCTTCCCTTATGTAGTGGAAATGAGATACTTATTATAAGTGTTGTTGTATTTCAACCGTCTCTATGTTAGATTTCGTTTTCTTGAAAGCTATGTCAAAGAGAAGTATTTAGGGGGAAAAAATGCCAAACTACTGCCGAATTTCCTGTACTATGTAGGTACTATGAATACCAAATCAACGATAACTCAGAATACTTAGACCAAAACCAACTTAGAAATGTACGTTTCTTAAATTGGCATACATCGGGAGTCGACCTCCTCATCAAGCACCCATAGTACTTACTGCTGTGCCACCGAAGAGCATGAGCACATCCCGAAACTGAAACCGACCACGCGCCGCAGGCCGAGCCCGACCCCACCGCCAACACTTTCTAACTATATGAGCCCTTTACCTCACGATGGGGTAAAGGGCTCATATAGTTATAAAGTTAGCAGTAGAGCTCTTTGTGAAAGAGTTCGTCCAAGAAAGTACTGCCACCTTACCTATTTCTGTCGCCAAGCAGTAATTTATTTATTTCGAAGTTAAAGTCACAGTCAAATAATGTTTATTTCATAGGTAAGCAAATTACACTTGAAATCGTCATACTGATTAAACTCTACTGCTCATTCGTAAGGCAGATTCCCCTGAGAAGAATGAGCAAGGAACTCTAGGGGTTGCTCTTTGTAAATAAACATTTGAATATATTTGTCGTTACAATATTAAATTACTTTAAACATCTTACATAGATCGAGACTACCTGCAAAAGCTAAAAGGGTACATAGATTTTTGTCATCCAAGTACGCAAAAGCTGTTTAATAATCTTTAGTATAAAGTTTTTTTAAGCTTAAATATCAATCGGAATCTTATTATCGAAGCGTATGTATATGTTGCCCCTTAAATGAATTTGTGACCTTGTGAAGACGACTGTCAAGGACACCTTTTTTTATAATATCTAGTGACGGGACGAACAAGTCGTGCGCCTGATGGTAAGCTACACGCCTGTCCATAACAGTTGCAGTGCCATTCAGAGCTTTTAATCGCAAAGATCTGAGCGGCACTGCCACTGCGTCCGGCATCCTGAGACATAAGTTGATAAGTCCCATGTGCATGTAATTTCACCTGCACCCTTAGGTACCAAGGTCTTGACTATTTAAAACTCTTAGTGGCACTGCAAGTACTACGGACAGGTGCGCCTAGGCGTGTCGCTTACCATGATGCACGACTTGCTCGTTCCATCACTAGGTCATCATATAAAATGTACATATTATGATGAAATAA